ATGCTTCTGATCTCTTTCCAAATGTTCTGTTCCCGTGGCTCAGGTTTCTGTCAGGGAAAGCTAGGTTACTCCACCTTTCATGGAGAGAATGAGGTGTCACCAGAGGAGGGCAGGGATGACACAGGAGGCGGGCAGCAAGGCCCCAGCCGGCCCGGGGCGCCGTGGTTCTGAGCTGCGGGGGAAAAATCACTTCCTGACTGCCGTCAGCAGGCCGACGGTTCACTGCCAGGTGAGTTCTCTCTCTGTTCACACTTCATGTATTTCACACCCCGGCTTGGTTCTGAGGATGCTGCTGCCGTCACTGGATGCAAGTGGCACCCATTTCTCAGATAAGTTCACACACCTGCAGAACAGCCAGGCCTGTACCGGGTGTCAGTCAGCTGGGAGTGACCTGGGCACCGATGGCACTGGCATGGGGTAGAGGTCGGGGGAGAAGAGTACCTGTGAGGCCCTGAACTAGGCCACGCCTGCGTCCCGGTGGCCAGGGGGCGTCCCTAGTGATGGGCACAGGCAGCTGTACTGCACACTAACACTCTACCTGAGTCCGCAGCTGCTTCCATCTGGGCCTCTTCCTCCAGATTCTTTCCGAGGTTGGCACTTCTGCAGTTTGTGCCACTAACGCGGACTTTTTAAGGAGCTCACTCTTAGCTGGTGCCACGTGCACCGCACCTGGGGCCCAGGGTAGGGATGCAGGGTGTGGACCTGCTCTTCCATTCCCTGCTTCTTGGCCCTCCCCAGCGAGCTCACTGACAACCACAACTGGACCCAACCATGAAATTCTACAAGAGCAGCGGTAGTGAGGAAGATGGTCAGAAAGCAACCGTAGCTCAAGGAAAAATAAAATCTTTATGTGAAGAACAGGAGTCTAAGGAAGCAGCCTCCCAGACTGCATTCAGCCTTCCAGGGCAACACAGATCGAGTTAATGATGTCTCCCATGGCTCCGAGGCAAGTCAGAAACGGCAGGGCGCAGGCTAGCAGAGATGCGCTTCCTCGAGCTTGAGGAGGACCCAGAGCCAGGGCTGGGGGCTGGGCTGCCCCCCGCGGCGGGCACCCGCAAGCAGCCATTGCCAGGCCCTCTCCTTGTCTGTTTCCCCACCGGAAATCAATGGCTCCATTTTTTGGTGGTTAAGAGGCTTTGATACTGAAGTAAACTCCAAGGTGCAATGCCAGGAAATGAGGCTTATTAGCACATGCACCACTGAAAAACATCCCAATTCCATTTCACCCCCGGTGTTTATGCTCACCTCAGGAGAGATTAAAGTGAGTCTGTTTAGAAAAAGGAAATTTCCAAAGCCCTTGGGAGAAGAACTGGAGAGGTTTCCTGCTCTAAAAGGGTGGTTAGAGACCGAAGAATTCGCTCAAATTCATGTCCTTTTCCAGATTAATGGTAATTGCTACTTGGATTTAAGTCAATATTTTAGTCAATGAAGATCAATAAAAGACACCGAATTTCCTCTCTGCCACCTTGTTTAGAAACATCTTCTCAATAGAAACCTTCTAGGGAATTATTTAATTTTCTCAACATCATTTTAGTATTTAAAAAAACCTGACTCAAAAATCCTTATGAGCCTTGTGTGAGCTTACTTACACACGGGCACGTGAGCGCTTTCCTATGCACTCAGATTCACTGTAAGTTGTTTTGTGTTAGAGACAGGGTCTGGAGTGCACACACTTCATGCTTTGAGCTCCTGCGTGCTGGATTATAGGAATGTGCCACCACGCTGGCCAATGGGTCAGCTTTGCAGGTGACTGCATAGTGGTCATATTCTTTGGACTGTAAGCTCAGGAAGATTCTCTTTTAAAGCACAGCCACAGTGGACATGGCTTTTGTGTACTCATCTGGCTCCTGACTTACATCAACTTTTTGGGTATATGGTGGTGGGTGTGAAACCCACCCACTTTCAGTAGAAACTGTGCTTCAAATTTTGATCATTTTTCAGCCTAGCAGCATGTAGTGGCATACTACTCCAAGATGCTCGGCAGAGGAAAGCTGCCCTGCTGCTATATTGCCATGAACCTTGAGGACATAATAGGAAGGAAATACACTGGTCACAAAAGATTACCGTTGTGTGATTCTATTTATATGATTTATTTGATGCGACTCAAGTAGCCCCTGGAGACAGAAAGCAGAGTGGTGCTTCCAGGATAGCAGGAGGGAGGTGGAGAGCTTCTACAGTCTCCTCCCTCAAACTCAGAAGTTCTGAGACACTAACTTGAGTCTGTGGCTCACGTGGTAAAGTGCCAGCCTTGAGCAACAAGGCCAAGACCCCGAGTTTGAGCCCAAGAAATGGCACCATAGGAAAAACTGGCACACAAAAACAAATTTATTCTAGAAATAAGTTTCAATATTAAATCCTTTCTTCAGAAACTTCAGTACAGAAAACTGGTTTTAGTATAGTTTCAAGAAACATGAACGTAAAATGCAATCGGGGACACGTGACCATAGCAGAAAAAGAAGAAAAGAAATGGAAGGACCTGGAGTGGCTGCCGGAGCCTGCTGCAATCCCAGGACTCTGAAGGCCAGGCGTGAAGGTCCCGCGTTCAAGGTTAGCTTGAGCTACACAGCAAGGCAAGGTCTGAGGCCAACAGAACCAAAAGCACGGAGGCAGTTCACTCTTCATTTTGCCCGTGTGGTCAGCAAAGCTGTTTGTTTGCCTCTGCTACAGACGGAGCAGCTGACCAAAGTTAGTGCGCTCCCCCTAGCCCAGGGGCTGGCTAAGCACACAGCAGGTCTGAGCGCCAGCGCTCCACGCAGGCCCCGAGGTCTCGCGTTGCGCTCCGTTGCCGCCCTCTGCTGGTACGCGCTGACTTCTTAGGCGGCTGATGCGCGCTGAGAGCTGCGGTCTCCGGACGGCGTGTTTCGGACGGGCGCTGCGTAAAGCCGTGATTGTGGTGTCGGACGCTGTCTGGGCCCCGCTTCCGCCCGCACCGGCGCGGGGGACCGTGTCGGGGCCGGGGCTGGGACCGGGCTCGTCTGGTCAGAACTACTCACCCGCTCACCTCCTCTCCCCGCACGGGCCCTGCACACGGCCCCTCTCCCCGGGAAGCGGGGAGCCCCCGGCGCGGGTGTGTGTGGGGGCCCCGGCGCGGGGGTGTGTGGGGGCCCCGGAGCGGGTGTGTGGGGGGGGGCCCCCGGAGCGGGTGGGGGGGCCCTGGCTTGGGTGTGGGGGGGCCTGGCTTGGGTGTGGGGGCCCTGGCTTGGGTGTGGGGGGCCCTGGCTTGGGTCTGGGGGGGGCCCTGGCTTGGGTGTGGGGGGCCCCGGAGCGGGTGGGGGGGCCCTGGCTTGGGTGTGGGGGGCCCTGGCTTGGGTGTGGGGGGCCCTGGCTTGGGTGTGGGGGGGGCCCTGGCTTGGGTGTGGGGGGGGCCCTGGCTTGGGTGTGGGGGGGCCCTGGCTTGGGTGTGGGGGGGCCTGGCTTGGGTGTGGGGGGGCCCTGGCTTGGGTGTGGGGGCCCTGGCGTGGGTCTGGGGGGGCCTGGCGTGGGTCTGGGGAGGCCTGGCGTGGGTCTGGGGGGCCCTGGCGTGGGTCTGGGGGGGGCCTGGCCTGGGTGTGGGGTGGCCCTGGCCTGGGTGTGGGGGGACCCTGGCCTGGGTGTGGGGGGGGCCTGGCCTGGGTGTGGGGGGGGGCCTGGCCTGGGTGTGGGGGGGGGCCTGGCCTGGGTGTGGGGGGGGCCTGGCCTGGGTGTGGGGGGGGCCTGGCTTGGGTGTGGGGGGGCCCTGGCGTGGGTCTGGGGGGGCCTGGCTTGGGTGTGGGGGGGCCCTGGCCTGGGTCTGGGGGGGGCCCTGGCCTGGGTCTGGGGGGGGCCCTGGCTTGGGTCTGGGGGGGGGCCCTGGCTTGGGTCTGGGGGGCCCTGGCTTGGGTCGGGGGGGGCCCTGGCTTGGGTCTGGGGGGGGCCCTGGCTTGGGTCTGGGGGGGGCCTGGCTTGGGTCTGGGGGGCCCTGGCTTGGGTCTAGGGGGGGGCCCTGGCTTGGGTCTGGGGGGGCCCCCGCGCGGGTGTGGGGGGCCCTGGCTTGGGTCTGGGGGGCCCTGGCTTGGGTCTGGGGGGCCCTGGGTTGGGTCTGGGGGGCCCTGGGTTGGGTCTGGGGCCCCCGGCGCGGGTCTGCGGGCCCCGCGCACCGCTCCGCTCGCTCCCCGTCCCGCAGGAGCAGGCGGCCCTGGAGGCCGGGCAGGCGGCGCCTGGCGCGGGCTGGGCGCGCGCAAGCGCTCGGGGCTGGGCAGGGGCTCTGGGGTCGAGGCTCGCCGGGCTGCCCGAGCCCCGGGTTCGAGTCCTCGGCCCCCCTCGGGCAGGAAGGGCCGGAAGTGGCGCTGTGGCGCCTCGGGCTGAGGAGCTGAGGGCGGCGCCCAGGACCCGGGTTCGAGACCCAGGTCCGAAAACAAGCAAGTGGGGGGGCCCTCGGGTCCGGGGGGAGGCCGCCCGGGGCGCACCCCGCCGCGGCCCCGCACCCCGGCTCCGACGAGCGAGCCGGGCCCGCAAACCCCGCGCGACAGTCGGGACAGAGCCCCCGCCGCCGGCCGGCCCCGGCTGAACGCGGCTCCCGTCGCGGTCCGTAGACGCGCGCCCCGCCCCCGTGGGGCCTCGGCTGCGCCGGTCGGGGAAGAAGAGCCGCGGGCGTCTACCGCGTTGCCCGCAGCGTGGTGTCTGAGGGGCGCGGTCCGCCCGCCACCGGCTGCCCCGTCAGGCGGCCGCTGGACAGCCCTGGGGTCCTGATTTTGAAAAGCGCAGCGGACCAATCAGAGGCGGGCGCCGCGGGCGCTGCCGTTTGACTGTGCGGGGCCGGGGCCGGAGCGCGTCCGCGGCGTCCGCGCGGAGCCGGGCGGGGCGGGAGCCGGGCGGGAGCCGGGCCGGGCGGGGCGGCTCGGGGTCGGCGCAGGAGCTGGGCCGCCGCGCTGCGGCCTGCCAGACGCGGTGACGGCGGCCACCAGCCCGGGCGGGGACCGGGACCGCGAGGCCGCTGAGCAGCCGGCGGCGGGGCGCGGGGCGCGGGCTGGGCCCGGGGGCGGGCGGGGAAGAGGATGGCTGGAAGTGGCCGGAAGTGGTGAGAGGCTGCGCCGGCCTCGGTGACCGGAAGAGGCCGGAAGGGGGTGCAGACAGGAAGGGAGGCCGGAAGGAAAGTGCAGACAGGAAGGGAGGCCGGAAGGGGGTGCAGACAGGAAGGGAGGCCGGAAGGAAAGTGCAGACAGGAAGGGAGGCCGGAAGGGCGTGCAGACAGGAAGGGAGGCCGGAAGGGCGTGCAGACAGGAAGGGAGGCCGGAAGGGCGTGCAGACAGGAAGGGAGGCCGGAAGGAAAGTGCAGACAGGAAGGGAGGTTCAGACCGGAAGGGAGGCCGGAAGGGAGGTGCAAACAGGGAGAGAGACGGGAAGGGAGGCCGGAGGGAGGTGCAGACCGGGAGGTTTAGACAGGGAGGCCGGGGGGCGGCGGGGCCGGGATGTGGGACCCCGGGCTGGTCCGGCTGGCGCTGGCGCAGCAGCTGCGGGCCGCCTACGGCATCAAGGTCAAGGGCGGCCGCGGGCCGGGCGAGCGCCGGAGGCGCGGGGCGGCGGCAGCGGCGGTAAGTGGGGCCTCGGCCGGGCCGGCCCTGCGCTTGGTGAACTCTCATCTCTGTCGGCCCCTGGGCTTGAGCCCGGGGCTGGGCGCTGCCCCTCCGCTCCCCGGCCCAAGGCCGGCGCTACCGCAGGAGCCACGGCGCCACTTCCCGGTTCCCGGCGGTTCCCGCCTGGCTGGCTTTGAACCGCGGCCCGCCCCGCTCTGGGAGCTGAGCCTCCCGACCGGGCGGCTGGCGAGGGGTGGGCAGCCTGTGGAGACCCCGGCCCCGCCTGGCTGGGGGCCGTGGCCTTTCCAACCCAGTCGGCGTGCCGCAGGCACCGTGCCCACCGGGGAGAGCAGCGGCCTGCTGCTGGGCCCGGCGCGTGGACACAGGCCTGGCAGCCTGCGGGGAGCCGGGCCCTGCCTGGGGCAGGCCTCCCCACGCCCTGCAGCCTGCGGGGAGCCGGGCCCTGCCTGGGGCAGGCCTCCCCACGCCCGGGCCCTGCCTGGCGCAGGCCTCCCCACGCCCCGGGCCCTGCCTGGGACAGGCCTCCTCACACCCTGCAGCCTGCGGGGAGCCGGGCCCTGCCTGGGGCAGGCCTCCCCACGCCCTGCAGCCTGCGGGGAGCCGGGCCCTGCCTGGGGCAGGCCTCCCCACGCCCGGGCCCTGCCTGGGGCAGGCCTCCCCACGCCCGGGCCCTGCCTGGGGCAGGCCTCCCCACGCCCGGGCCCTGCCTGGCGCAGGCTTCCCCACGCCCGGGCCCTGCCTGGCGCAGGCCTCCCCACGCCCGGGCAGCCCGCGGATGAGCCCACGCCCAGCCTGGGGCAGGCCTCCCCACGCCTGGGGCAGGCCCGCTGTACTGAGCTACCTCTTAGCCGAGCCACTCCTTTGATAAATGAGAAAGGAGTGCCTGACAGCTTTTGGTGAGGTGTTGGTGGTGGAGGTCAGGGGGTTTTGAGGATGGTTTAATACCGTGTGTGCACCACCAAGAATGTAGTTGTGAAAAATAAAGTGCCCATAAGGCACTTGCTTGAAGTGTAAGTGCTTACTTTACTGGTACAGGGCAACAAAAACTAACAATTAGCTTGCATGGCTTTTTAATAGTTTATATTTCTGGAGGAAAAAAAGGATTTAGTGGTGAAAACTACTTAAAATAATTCCCATACACTTGACAACTTTTAAATTTTAGAGGAATTGTTTGCTGTTTGCAAATTAGTAATATGCATTTATTCTATACTTAAGCATTACTGTGGGTAATCCTGAGTTTCCCATATCTAGTTGAACATGGATTTTTAACTGTTGAACTGGAAAAGCTAACACTTGGGTGGATTTCCTGACATCCCTTCCGTTTCAGTCCTGTTCCACATTTAAATTTGTTGCTTACTCAGTTTCACAAGCTTCTCTGTCCCTTCCTGTAAAGTGGTATTTACGTGTTGGAGATGCAGCTCTGTGGGAGGAGGCTTGGCTGGTGTGTGTAAGGCCCTCTTGCCACAAGTGTAATGGTATTTATGTTGTCTTCCCTTGGATTTTATAGGGGATTTAAGAAAGATCAGGTCAGCAGGTAAGCAGCAGCACAGGCCTGTCAGATGTGACTTCAGAAAACACTTACCATCTGTCTGCGTTCTCATTGATGGTTGTATTGTGGAAGTTCAGCTCGAAACACTAATTGCATTAAACACCAATTGTATTAGTGTTTATAGTCTAATGGAGAAATACAGATTATTCTGTTCTAAGTGTGTGACCTACCTAATGAGATGGGTAATTTGAAGATGGATTTATTTTATTTTTGGTAGTATTAGGGTTTGAACTTAGGGTCTTATTTTTTTTGGGGGGTCCGGTCGTGGGACCTGAACTTTGGGCCTGGGCGCTGTCCCTCAGCATTTCAGCTCAAGGCTAGCACTCTACCACTTGAGCCACAACGCCACTTCCAGCTTTTTTCTTTTTGCTTATGTGGTGCTGAGGAATCGAACCCAGGGCCTCAGGCATGCAAGCCACCTTCCCAGCCCCGAACTTAGGGTCTTATACTTGCTGGGCTGGCTTGCTTGCCTGGTGTTCCTACCCACATGAGTTATGTCTCTATCCCTGCTTCTTGCTGGTTATTTTGGGGATGGAGTGTCATGGACTTCTCTGCCTGTACTAACTTCAGATTACAAATCTCCAGATCTCTCCTCCTGAGTAGTTAGGATTAAAGTATAAGCCACAGGTACCTGACTGGAAATTGCTTCTTAGGCCTGGTGTTAGCTAATAGTAATTCTTGAGGGTCTGTTTGTTTTTGGTGCTGGTCCTGAGACTTAAACTCAGGGCCTGGGAACTGTCCTAGTGTAGTTTGCTCAGGGATAGTGCTTTGTCCACCACCTGAGCCACAACTTCACTTCTTGCTTTTTTTGGTGGTTAATTGGAGATAAGAGTCTCATGGACTTTTCTTCCTGGGTTGAAAGTATTATAAACCTTAAAGAAAAGACTAATGCTTTTCTACTACATAAAATTCAAAATGCAATTTTATGAGATTACATTATAATGACCGAGTGGCTGGGCATAGTGGTGCATGCCTGTTATCATCACAGCTGCTTAGGAGGTAAAGGCTCATGGCCCAAAGTTGGTGCAAGAACTTACCCAGAAACACACTAAAAGCAAAAATTATTAAGGACAATGGCTCAAGTGTGGAGCACTCAGCTAGCAAACATGAGGCTCTGAGTTCTTTGACTTCGAATGTTTTATTTTGTCCAATGTTGACAATTTATGCCTACTTTTGGTAAAATACTGAGTTTGTCATTTCAGGGTAAAATATTTGGAGTTCCTGTTCGTGCGCTGCCCCATTCTGTTGTACCAGAATATGGAAACATTCCAAGGTAAGCAGAACTGGAAGTGCATCCTGTCAGCCTGCCTGTAGGGGGCTTAGAAAGAAACAGTTGGTGGATCACACACAGGTTCCAAGCTAGCAAATTACTGTATTTCTTTTTTTTTTTTTTTAGCAATCATTAATTTAATATTTATTATCTAACTACATTATAAAAATAATACCAATGACATTCTAAAAATATTTTTCCTTTAATATTGAAAACAAATCAGGATTCTTGAAGGAATTTGAAATATAAATTTTGAATTTTTTAAAAAGAAGGCAAAACAAAGGAGGAGGCTACAATGCTTGATAAGAAATGTACTCATTATTTTGCCCATGTAATTGTAACCCCTCTGTACAGTTTTTTCACAATAAAAAAATAAAAAATAATAAAAAAATAAAAAGGCAAAACATATAACAAAAACTACTGTTCTCACAGTTCAGAGTCAATATCAAAGTACTAATATTATTCTGTTTTTATTCCATAATTTTTATAAAAATGAGGTAAAACTAATTTAGTGTTTAAAATTTTTCATGAACACTTATCTATATCATTAAAAGTCTTTGAATATATAATTTTAATGATTTTATATATTAGAATACATCCATGTATCATAATTTTATTGCTTATTTTTTGTCTTTCTCTTTTTTTAGCCATTCAACAAATCAGTTTATAAGTACAATGCATCATGATTGATACTACCCCTTTCATTATGTTCCCCCTTCTTCCCAAACCAACCCTTCCCCTCAATATTTGTAGTTTCAGAGGCTATGCATTGAATATTCTGACTTCATTCTCCCTCCTTCCTCTCTTCATGTCTAATCCCCCTTTTCTTGATCTCCTCCCACACATTTCAAGTACTAGCCTTCTGGCATTCATTTTGTTGGACTGTGAGTTATTTTTCCCTAAGGAATTATATACTATTTGAATTCTCCCCTGCATACATTCTACTTCAGTTAATATGTTTGTGTATAATAGCTGTATTTTGATTTTATTTATTTTTAATAAGTTTTTTAAATTGTGAAGATACTGTACAGAGGTGTTACAGTTACATGAACAAGGTAACGAGTACATTTCTTTTTTTTTTTTAATTTAATTTAATTTTATTTGTGAACATACTGTACAGAGGAGTTACAGTTACATGGGCAGGATAATGCGTACATTTCTTACCAAGCATTGCAGCCTCCTCCTTTGTTTACCCTTCACATCCCTTCCCAGCCTCCCCCCCTAATCCCAATCCTTCTCCTTCCCCCCCCCCGAAATTACTGTATTTCTTAACATTAGCTAATGTAAAAGTACAAACTAGAACTTGTACATCATTTCAGTATACAATTTGTGCTTTTCAGGATTTGAATTTTAGTATCCAGTAATGAGTAAATGTTAAAAATCAATTTTTTGTTATTTGTGTCATACTGAAGCTTGAACTCAGTGCTTGGGTATTGTCCCTGAGTTCTTTTGCTCACGGCTAGTGTGCTATGACTTTTAACCACAGCTGCACATCTGGCTTTTTGGTACTTAATTGGAGATAAGAGTCTCACCAACTTCCCTGCCTGGGCTGGCTTTAAACAGTGATCCTCACGCTGAAGCCTCCTAAGTGGCTAGGATTGCAGGTGTAGCCCAGCTACTGTTCATATATGGGAGGGGGGGGGCTTGATTTTCCCATAGTAGAAACCAACCTGTATTAACTTCAACATTAGGAATCACAAAATCTTAAAGCTAGGAATGACTAAATTTTTATTACCATTTCTTGGTTCTTTAAAAAAAAAAATATATGGTTGGGTATTGGTAGCACACTCATGTAGTCCTAGCTATTTAGGAGGCTGATATCTGTGGATCACGATTCAAAGTCAGCATGAGGAGGAAAGTCTATGAGACTCCTATCTCCAGTTAATCACCCAAAAGCTGTTAGTAGAGTTGTGGCTTGATAGAGCACTAGCTTTGAGCAAAGTAGCTCAGGGATAGCACTCAGGTTCTGAGTTCAAGCCCCAGGACTAGAACCAAAAAATAACAAAAATCCATCCAACCCTCCGTGTGCAGGGGTGGCTTGACGCTCAGCCGTCATGCACCGGTATAGCTAGATCATCTGTTTACCTGACCTATATTTTGATTTGGGGGGAGTACAAGCTGTTAAATGTATATGTCTCTAAAGCTAACATTGGTTAAGGTTGTTGTTTAGAGTTTTTAAAAAATGAGTATGTGCCTCTTAAGTGTGAGCAAGATTGTAAGGCCTGGGATGTATCCTCTTTTTCTGAGTAATAGTGTTGAGGTGAGGGAAACTTACTTTTGGGAAAATGCAGTAGATGGTAGCTATTTGAGGCTATGTGTGCTCTCTGCGGTCAGTCTGGCAAGTAGACGTCAGGTAAAGAGAAGCCAGAGGAGCTCGGGAAGGAGCTGCTAGGGAGGTAATAGGAGATTGACTCAGATGGGTCAAGCATCATACAGAATGAGTGAACCGTGGATTTGGCACAGCAGTGTCCAGGGCCGGCCTTAGTGGGAGTGGTGTCGTTTGAGTATTGAGAGCAAATATGATTGGAGAGAGGTGAGTGAAGGCCCGCCCGGTGCATGTGGGTGAGGCCAGGAACAGCCTTGTGCTGTGACAGAAGCAGAGCCAGGAGTAGTATTGATTCCAGAGGAAGCTGGGCCTCATAAGAGTGTAGGAAGCAAGGAGGACCCTGAAAGGAAGCTATCAGGAGGGCTACAGGGACTGGGACCTGGTGCTTGTCTGCCGGGGGTCCCGCCACAGGGAAAGGTTTCTCTTGCAGCTTTCTTGTGGATGCCTGCACATCTTTGGAAGCCCACATTCACACTGAAGGACTGTTCAGGAAATCAGGATCTGTTATTCGTCTAAAAGCACTAAAGGTAAGCATACCCCTGGGCTACATATTTCATTTGTACCATTTTCTGATTGGGTTCTTGATGACTGAGATGTTTCGAACTTCATTGATAGAAATTGAGTTTACAAGTAGCTTTTATTCCTGGCAGAAAGAATCTTTTTTTTTTTTTTTTCCCCTGAAGAAATTCTGTGTCGTTTATATACTGCTTTCAAAGTTTACAGAGGACTTTCAAAATTCATTGTTTTTATTCCTATAAAGTTATATATTAAAATTTTCTGTTTTAGCTGTATAGAAAGGAGTAATGCATATAGAAATACGTGAAGAGAAACTTAGGAAAGAAAGCTTGTTAGTTGCAGATAATGGTTCCGTTATTTGCAATAAGCACTATGTCTGAGGCCTGCTTGCACTGTCTCATTCATTTCAGAGCAGAGTGGATCGTGGCGATGAAGGCAGCCTGTCTTCCGCACTGCCGTGTGATGTCGCAGGGCTCCTCAAGCAGTTTCTCAGGGAGCTGCCTGAGCCCATCCTCCCAGCTGATTTGCATGAAGCACTTTTCAGAGCTCAGCAGTTGGGAACAGAGGAGAAGAATAAAGCTACATTGTTGCTCTCCTGTCTTATGACCGATCATACAGTTGATATCCTGAGATACTTCTTTAGCTTTCTCAGGAATGTTTCTCTTAGGTAAGTGGTAATTAAAAAGCCTTGAGAATGACTTTAATTTCCCAACTTCCTAAAGATGTACTGCTGTAGGACATTATTGATGTCATTGTATAAGTGACATTTATTTGGAACGGAAATTTTGCTAAGGAGTTATTTTCTTACTATGTATAAGAATTATAGCCTGTATATTTTATTTATATAATTTAAGAAACAAATTATTTAATGTCTTTACCTAGAGTTAGTGTAAAAATGCCTTAATGACATAATTTATAAATTTAACTGTGGCTACTGTTCACTGTGTGTTGCTTTTTATGTTTTTGCTATTAGTGAGCATATTTTACATATACTTACTTTACATATACTTGCTACCTTTTTATGATTAAAATTCAATAAATGTTCAGTTTGTGTGAAGGAGTCCATGTGAACTCTGATTGGCATAGTTTTTGTGGATCATATTTAAGTGCAGAGAGGCCATGTGTTTTTGGTTGGTTCCTGTGTTTTTTCTGTTACTTTGTTCTGTGTTGCTGGGACTCAGCAGGACTGTGCATTGTAGGCAAGCTCTACCACTGAGCTTTACTCCTAGTGTTATGCCTTTTTCTTTAAGCCAGTTGTGTAGATGAACAGAGGGATAAGTTATTTTGACCTGTGTATAACTGATAAAGATGTCAGTGTAGTGTTCTTGATAGTGTTAGTTTAACTTTCTGTGCTTTTACCTTTTCTCCATCCTTAAAGAGCCAGTGAGAATAAGATGGATAGCAGCAACCTTGCTGTCATATTTGCACCAAATCTTCTTCAGACAAATGAAGGGCATGAGAAGATGTCTGCTAACACGGAAAAAAAGCTACGATTACAGGCTGCAGTAGTACAGACTCTTATTGATTATGCACCTGACATTGGTAAGGTGTAGCTACACTATTGAGTAGTGGGATTTATTGGAATGAGGGCAGTCCCAGCTGCAAATGAACTATGAATGTAGCTGGTAGGAAGTTGGCATATTACTTCTGCACACATTTTAGGGGAATGAGGAAGGGTAATAGTTATCTTTCAACCATTTTCATTAAGGGCGTGTACCAGACTTCATCCTAGAAAAGATGCCAGCTATGTTGGGAATTGATGGTCTGTGTGCTACTCCGTTACTGGAAGGTTTTGAAGAAGGTGAATGTGAAACTCCTGGTGAATGCAAGAGGAAACGGAGGCAGAGTGTGGGAGGTACGTGATCATCTCACTTAAGCAAGGTATTGATTTGCTTTTATCTACCTGTCCTTTAAGCATAAATAACCATAGCTCTCTATGTGCCTTTTGATGCTTATGGCATAGTTAGAAAAATTAGATATGGGCATGTTAAAAGATTCTAATATTAAGCTGGTGCCTGTGGCTCACACCTATAATCCCTGTACTCAGGAGGTGGAGATGTGGGGATCTAGATTCAGAACCAGCCAGAGCAGCAAAGTCTGTGAGATTTTTTTGTTTGTCCTGGGGCTTGAACTCGGCTCTTCAGCTCAGGGCCAGTGCTCTACCGCTTAAGCCACAGTGCCACTTCCAGTTTTCTAGTGGTTTATTGGAGATAAGAGTCTCACAAACTTTCCTGCCTGGGCTGGCTTTGGATTTGGACTGTGATCCTCAGATCTCAGCCTCCTGCATAGTTAGGATTACATGCGTGAGCCTCTGGCACCTGGCTGTGAGACTCTTTATCTCCAATTAACCACCAAAAAATTGGAAGTGCAGCTGTGGCTCAAGTAGTAGTATGCACAAAAGCTTAGGACAGTGCCCAGGCCCAGAGTCCAAGCTCTGGGACTAATACATACACAAAAAAGTCTTTAGCTCATCTGGAGGTTTTAAGACTATTAATAGCATTGATAGGTAAAGGTTATATTTTAATTGATTATGTGATTTTATGTACCTTGCATTTCAGATTTTGTTAATGGAGCCCTCAATAAACTTAAATATAACAGAACACCTTCTATTACACCTCAACAGGATAGAACTGGTATGTGTTTGTTAGATATATATCTAATTCAAAGACAACTATGGTAATTTATAAAAAAAAAAATTAGAAAAATAGTTACCTGACTTATTTTAGTTAATTAACCAAGTTGAGTTTAATCAAAGCCAAGTGTTTTCCATGGAGGTATTGTACTGTGTATATACTGTTGCATGATATTGCTAATTACATTGGTCAAATTGAACCTAAGATGTAAGATGGTTTAGTCTTTTGCCACATTTTAATTTTTTAAATCATTATCTTTACGTAGTTCTATTTAATGTTGTTAATCATTTTCAGTTTGGATGTAATTTCAATGCTGTTGAACTTGTAAATATAACCTCATTTTGTCTTAGAGCCAGGAATTTATTGTTACATGTTCTATTTTATCCTGTGCCTGTCAGGTTATCAGACAACAAAACCTCCATTTTTTTCTGTAGTAAAGAAATGAACTGTAAGTCTCAGTTGTAATGAGAAGCAAACAGATCAGTCTTGGTTTCAACATCTTGAGTATAATTTCTTTCCTCGTGTTAGTATTCTTTAAATAATTGCAGAGTATTTAGTCATATGACGTGTTTGACAATGGAAATATATCTCCTGCATTTTTGCTATCTCTAAGTAATAGCTTTATAATTGAGAAAAGCTTTTGTATTTTACCAACTCTGGGAGAAACAATAATTGGTTTTTGTTTTCAGCTCAGCTCTCTGTATCACCAGTGATTTTTACACCAAGTGCTAAACGCAAATTGCCAGTAGATTCTTCCCATGGCTGCTCGAGTAAGAAAAGGAAGTCCATCAAGCACAGTTTTAACTTTGAGCTGTTGCCGAGCAACCTCTTCAGTAGCAGTTCTACACCCGTATCAGGTAGCAAACAGAACTTAAGAAATGGAGTCATAAACAGTAAAGATAAATTTCTGTTCTTAGCAATGAGCTATTTCAAATTATTACCACTCTTAAGAGCCAACATTTTATTTTGTGTTTTATCAAATCTGAATGTTTGTAAGATCTACTGAAGATAGTTTTAATAGGGGTGTGTGTGTGTGTGTGTGTGTGTGTGTGTGTGTGTGTGTGTGTGTGTGTGTGTGTGTGTGTGTGTGTGTTAGCCATGTCTATTGAAAGTGAAGAGAAATAACTCATGAAGAGTTTGTCTTCTGCAGATAATGGTGCCACTCAGGCTTTATGTTACTTTAATCCTACCTTCATTACATCTGGACCCATAACTGATCACTTCTGAATACAGTGGTTATTACCACTGTTTTAGTTTTTAGTTTTAGTTGACTGTACATGGTAATTACATATTTATGGGGAACCGTGTGGTGTTTCAGTATGTGTATATTTGACCAGCACAGGAAGTTTCATGTTACTCCTGACATTTTACCAGTTCTTAGTTTGGAGATTATTTAGAACCCTCTCCATTAGCTATTTTTATTTATTTATTTTGGATGCTGGTCATGGGGCTTGAACTCAGGGCCTGAGGGTAGTCACTGAGCTTTTGTGTTCAAGACTAGTGTTCTACCACTTTTGAAGTATAGCTCCACTTCTGGCTTTTTTGGTGGTTAATTAGAAATAAAACGCTCACAGACATTCCTATCTGGACTGGCTTTGGACTGTGATCCTCAGACCTTAGCCTCCTGAGTAAGTGGAATTACAAGGGTGAGCCACCAGTACCCTAAACCCAAGTTTCTGTTACTGTAGGCTTAGATTTAATTGATTTTCTTAGCATGTGCAGTATATAGCAATTGCTCATATAAACTTGATGATTAAACACGAAAATCTAAGCCCAGGGTCCCCTCCATCTTCTGTCTGCCTCATAAACCGTGTGTGTGAGTGTGTGTGTGTGTGTGTTGAAAGTTTTATTTTGAGCCCAGTGCTGAGCTAGGACCCCTTCTTCCCCAAAATGTTTTCTTTTGTCTATGTTATTTGAAGGTTAGTGCTTCTTGTTGAAGTTGACCTGAACCAGTACTTCTTGCTACTCACTGAAGTGTAAGAACTCTGATGTTTCCATCTACAGTTCTGTCTGTAGTCAGAGATTCTAGACTTAAACTCCCTAAAAGTAACAGTGGTTTCTCAGTGCTTCCTAATAATGTTCTTACAGTTAGGAACATTTTACCTGCCTTTGCTTGTTAGCATGTTAGCATTACAACAAAGAATGACCCTTTGCTTCCTCCTCTAATTGTTCTTCACAATGGATGAATTTTACTATTATTCAGTTATTAAAAAGTTCAACAATACTTCCATTACTTTTTTTTTTTGGGGGGGTCGGTTGTGGGGCTTGAACTCTGGGCCTGCGCGCTGTCCCTCAGCTCTTCAGCTCAAAGCGAGCGCTCTACCACTTGAGCTACAGCGCCACTTCCGGTTTTCTGGTGGTTTATTGGAGATAGGAGTCTCACGGTCTCTCCTGCCCGGGCTGGCTTTGAACCGTGATCCTCAGAGCTCAGCCTCCTGAGTAGCTAGGATTACAGGCGTGAGCCACCAGCGCCTGGCTTTCCATTACTTTTAATTAACCTTTTTTGTTGTTGCTGATCATGGGGCTTGAACTCTGGGCCTCAATTCTTCAGCTCAAGGCTAACACTCTACCACTTGAGCTACAGCGCCACTTCCGGTTTTTTTGGTGGTTTATTGGAGATAAGAGTCCCACAGACTTTCCTTCCCCGGACTGGCTTTGAACCGCGATCCTCAGATCTCAGCCTCCTAAGTAGCTAGAATTACAGGCGTGAGCCACCAGTGCCCAGCCTTAACCATTTTTATTTGACTGTACTTTCTCATTCAAAGCAAATTCCATCTGTAAGATTGAAAATAGATGGATTTTTAAGTTTGAGTTTGGCGTTTTTTTCTCAGTTTATAGAGGCAGCAAAATGAATCTGCAGTCACCATGGTAGCTGTTTATGGCTTTCTCTTTTATGTGATAGTTTATCATTCTGACTGTGCCTCCTTAGGACACATTCTTAGGACAACCAGCCTGTAGCCAAGGACGAAATACCTGTGTCACGTTGTGGGTGTTATGTCTCTAAAGTCACTGTGGTGGTTATAGTTTTTTCTGTTTTCATGACCTGAAAACCCAAGAATATCTATTTGAAGAGCTTTCTGAGTTTCTGTGTTTGTTGCGTATATAGTAGAATCGGAGCAAGCCTTTGTTGATAATTTTCACTTTTTGCACACTAAATTGCTATAGTTGATTTCATGTTATAAATGCTGTCAAACAGTTTAATTTTGCTCTGTTGTAACCACAGGTTTGTTCTGAAACATAGCAGATGCAAAGTTGCAAATGATGACTCATTCTTACTGATAGTTTTGTTTTAAAATATATTCCAGATTCAGGTGGACAGCATTGACTGGCAGATACATTTTGAATAATCAGATTCCAAATTGTCAGTTTATTTTCTATAATAGCATTTACTAGTATTTTGTACCAGATAATGTATTGGAAATTCCTTGTATATTCACAGTGGTATTTATTTTCATCACAGTGTCTGTCTTCAGAGTATAAAACCGTTTGTCCAGTATGTTTGAGCCTATTTTCTTCTTCAAATGACTACAAAGGTCCAAGCCCAGTACTGCTTGCTTAACCTTTATTTGGTAATTAAAGAGTAAGAAATCAGTACCTTTTTTTACTTGACCTTGGTCTTCAACCGGAAATTGTGTTTTTTCACTTTTGCTTTGAGGTGTCAATAAACACTTTACATCCAAGTGCCACTGTTGCTGTTTTACACTTTGACAGTCCCCATGGTAATATGTGTGGTTATGCTTTACAGTTCACTTTGATACAAGCCCAGAGGGGTCATCTCAAAGTTCCATCTCTCCTGTAGCCATGAGTGGAAACGGTTTGATGAGTACAGATGTGCTGAGGCGGAGTAAAAGGATTGCAAACAAAAGACTTTGCAGGTAATCTAGCTCCCATCTGTTCTAATTATAGATGCGTACTTAGAGACTGAGATCATACTGAAATAGGGATCTTGATTAGATATTTTGTTATTCTACCAAGAATCATGTTGAATCATCATTTTTAAATAATCTTTTGGTCTTTATGTTCTTACTAATCTAGTGCCTTTCATATACCAACCAAGGGAAAAACTTTCTAATTTGAGTGTTTTGCTTACTTAAAATCTTCATATTATTGATGTAATTTTAAGTTTTCCTGCTACTTTTAAAAGCTGGAAGTGATTGACTCACTTTTATGATAAACTATTTTATATGCAAACATAACGTGCTCATAATTTAGTTTAAAAAATGTGCTGGCCAGGCCCTGGTGCCTCATGCTTGTAATCTCGGCTACTCAGGAGACTGAGATCTGAGGATCATGGCTCGAAGCCAGCCAGGCCAGGCAGATCTGCAAAACTCTCGCCTCCAATTAACCACCAGAAAACCGGAAGTGGTAGAGCACTACCTAGACTTGAGCAGAAGAGCTCGGGGACAGAACCCCGTCCCTGAGTTCAAGCCCAGACTGATAAAAACATTGTGCTGCAGGTGTGACCAAGTGGTAGAGTTTCTTCTTACCAAGTATGAAGCCCTGCATTCAAACCCCAGTGCTGAAAAGGATCACTCAATTATTAGCAGCAATAGGAGTTGCTATAGGAGTTCTCAAATTCCATTTTATAATATGTTATAAACTGACATTTTAAATTCCACTTTTTTAGGGTAGAATCTGGAAAAGCAGGCTGTTTCTCTCCTAAAATCAATCGTAAGGAAAAAGTTCGAAGATCTCTTCGTTTGAAATTTAGTCTGGGGAAAAGCAGCAGAGATGCCGTAAGTGTTACACACACCTCATAGATCTGATAGCACACTCTATGGTGTATTAGCCATAGTACTGGAGGCTTGTTACTAAAAGACCCTTTCAGCCCTCCCTCTGCTCCGGCTATCTCCACTCTTTATAGCCACACCCCTTTCCCAGCACGGCCCTAGAACTGCCCTCGTCTAGGTTGCCCGTGAATCCAGGATTGCTCAAAGCAGCGTGCGTCCTTACTGGATCAGACCTGCTAGCAATCACGGGTCCTCTGTGCTGGTCTCCCCTTGCCCCCTCACCATTGCCTTGGCTTCCGCCGAAGCTCCTCGTCAGTACACCGAGGTCTGTGGCCTTGGCAAAAACAGCACAAAAGCTTACTCTTTTAATTAAATAATGCAAGGCTATTTTTAAGTTGTACCTCAAAATATCAGGAATATTTGTGTTTATTTTGTTTTCCCAGTGAAGTATGTTTTTATGTCAGCTTTTGATTTCAAAACCCACAGAGTTCTATTTGGTTTGAACCTTTTGAATTAACTAGAATTACTTTTTACAACATTGTCATCTTTTCTTTTCTGCACAGAATGGGTGTTCTGGTGTCAACAGATCCGAGCATGTTGGTCGGCGACTTGCAAATCAACCAAGTTTAAAAACTAGGATCGAATCTGTAAAAACAGGTCTACTTTTTAGCCCAGATATTGGTGAAAGATTACCAAAGAAAGGTACCCTCGTATATGATATGTTAGAATTTTGCCCCAAAATCCTGCTTTAGTTGTTTCTTTAATGGTAAAACATATTAAATAATCTGCTGTTTTTAGAAGTTAGAAAAAGTTCCTGCTTCATAGGGAAAAATACTTAAATTGACAGCATATTTTTCCATCAACAATTGGAAGGTGCTTATAAATTAAATAGATGGTTGACATTTTTATATTATGTCTTCACACATCTTTAATTTTCTGAAGTGTAAATGCTTAATACTCTTACTTGCCATGTGTGGATAGTATTTCAAAACTAGAGATATAAAGTATTAAAAGCACTGAACCTACTTCATTTTAGGTCCTAAAAAGATCAGTAAGTCTGAGGAAAACTTACTAACTCCAGAGCAAATGGATGGAACAAGTTACCGGATGTCTTGGACAGGACCCAGTAATTTGAGTTTTCAAGAAATGGATGTAAATGAAGTGTCTCCAACAATGGCAAATCCTGAGGTGGAGAACTTTTCTTTGGAGCCCAGCGTCACGATTGAAAAGTTACCTGCTCCGTCATGTGAACTCAGGCCTTCTGCTCTGCAGGGCCGGCCTGTGGGCAGCGCCTTGGCGAGCTCCCTCAGTGGGGATGAAAACAGTGTCACCTCAGAAACGGTGGTGAAAATTCAGAGAGCGTTTTCTGAGTCCGGAAGTCATCTTCATGCACTGATAAGTCACAGACGGTCATCAGTGACTACAGAGGAGGAAGTAAAGTTAACCGAAACATTGTACATAGAAAGTAGCCCGGAGAGAAGCCTGTGTGAAGCTGATGATGTGACTGTGCGAGAGTCAGAAGAAAAGTATGGAAACGGTAGTGGTAAAGACAAAAATTATTCTTCAGAAGTAGATGGCTTACCCCATCAAAGTGAAACACTTGGAAAAGAAGCCGTCGTGGGGTGGGAGTCAGCTCAGATGAGGGTAGAAGATGAGGTTCATTCAGATATGCCAAAAGATCATCTAAGCCAACAGCTCCCCAGTCGTGAGCAGGTCCCGGAACAGCAGTCCCCAGGGAACGGTCAGACAACAGAGGCGAAGGACAGCGAGAAAGAGAGTGAAGACAAGAAATCTGCAGCTTCCAGCCCAGCTGAGGCTCAGCCCTCTTCCTCACAGCAGAGTATGTGCGGGGTTTTGGGCCAGTCAAAGCCTAAGCCTGTGGGACCTGCTAAACAGCGTGCTCCGGTAGAAAGCTGTGACGGGACTGTTTGTGAACTCTTGCAAATGACAGAGCCTGGGAAGGTTTCAGACCACATACAGTGGTTTAATAAGCTGTCTTTAAATGAGCCGAATAGAACAAAAGTGAAGTCACCTCTGAAGTTTCAGCGTACACCTGTCCGCCAGTCTGTTCGAAGAATTAATTCTCTGTTAGAATATAACAGACAGCCTGGTAGGCAGAAGCTGGTCATCCCTTGGGATGCAGCTTCGCCCCTGGTCAAGTCTGTGAGCTGTGACAGTGCCCTTCCCTGCCACACAGGGGGGCCGTCAGCAGAGTCCTCTACTTCAGATACTCGCTCAGCTCCTCAGGACCCCAGGGCCTCATCGTGTGAATGGTCGGGTATTGACGGGATTTCAAAGTCGAGCACAGGGCTACCTTCCAGATCTTTTTCAAAACTAAGGAGACACCCAGAGTCTGTGAATGCTACTCTTCAGCCTAGAGTCTTTAAACAGGAAGTTGTATCTGATGGCCAAATTAAGATTCCCTTGGATGATCTGACTAATCATGATATTTTAAGATCTGGTGTAAATAACAAGGGCTTTCCTCCTGGGATAAAAACAAGGGTCCTCAGGAAACCCTCGGAAAGAGAAAGGGTCTGGTACAAAGGATCTCCAAAACATCCTATTGGAAAGGCTCAGCTGTTACCAACAAGTAGACCTGTGGACTTGTGACTGGCATGTGTACCTGTCGTCAGTGTAAATAAAATTAGTGACTTGCAGGGCAGTGGACATGTTAGTTTGTAGCTCAGGGTGACTTTATGTAGTAAATTTTCCTTGAAACTTAATTTTTACCACAGGAACACTTTGAAATTCCATATTTGTGCATATGACTTTTTTCTTAATGATGGCAGTCTTTTAAACTTAATTTTCCTGCAGTCTCTTAAAGCGGAGGTTACCCTTTACTCTCTTCAACAAATCACTGTCTTGATTTACAAACACCTCTGCAAGTGATAATTTTTATTGTACAAACGATAGGAAGAATCGTGCAATTAAACCTATGGCTTGATTTTCCTCCAAGTCAGAGAAGGTTTCTGAAACAAATGTTCCTACATAAAGGGGAAGAGAGGGTTAGCCTCCCCGATCTTAGGTCTTGAATTACCTTAGTGTTTCTTGAATACCAAACTCCTTAGAAATGAGTTGCTCGGATGGTGCCCCGTGCGCGTCTGGTACCTTGTGTGGACTTGACCAGGGGTAGGGACTCAGTCCCGTGGTACCCTGCGGGTGTTGATTCTTGAAGCCATGCTGTTTTCAAAGGTCATCTGGGCCAATGCATGTGTGTCTGTTATACCCAATATGGAACTGAACTAAGAAGAATGGGGTTAAAGAAATGCAGGTGGCCTTCCCCTTGAGGATGCTTGGTTTTAACGTTTGGATGCTTGATGAATGTGTCTTCCTTTTACTTGGATTAAAAGCCGGATGTTTTATCTTGTGTGTACGTGGTCGGTCTTTAACACATGTGGAAGAGACCTGCCCAGAGTGGCTTCACACGCTGGGCCACTGAGTACAGGCGCTGGGCCTGGCTGTGTGCAGTTGGCCTGTTTCTCAGGGCCCAGGGCCCTGGCTGGGACCCCGAGGCCGGGCCCCGCCCAGCCTCCACGCTCCGCCTGGGCCCCGCCCCCGGGGAGGCAGGCCCCGCCCAGCCTCCAAGCTACGCCCGGGTCCCGCCCCCGGGGAGGCAGGCCCCGCCCAGCCTCCAAGCTACGCCCGGGTCCCGCCCCCGGGGAGGCAGGCCCCGCCCAGCCTCCAAGCTCCGCCTGGGTCCCGCCCCCGGGGAGGCAGGCCCCGCCCAGCCTCCAAGCTCCGCCTGGGTCCCGCCCCCGGGGAGGCAGGCCCCGCCCAGCCTCCAAGCTCCGCCTGGGTCCCGCCCCCGGGGAGGCAGGCCCCGCCCAGCCTCCAAGCTCCGCCTGGGTCCCGCCCGGGCCCCGCCCAGACGCTGTATGTTCTGAGAAGGTGCTTCACCGGGCGAGGGCCGACTCCCGAAGAGACCAGCCCAGCCTGCGGAGAGAGAACGGTCACGGCCAACCCCTGGCTCCTCCCGCGGGCAGGGACAAAGGGAGCACGGCAGGGGCGGGCGGCCTCCTGGGGGCGGGGCCAGGTGCGGAGTGCCGGGCCGAGGGGCGTGGCTTAGCCGTAGAGGCCAGGCTGGGGGCGGGGCTCCTCGGGGGCGGGGCTCGGCGCCGGGCGGGGCCTGCGCGGAGGGCGGGGCTGACGCAGGAGCTGTCCAGCACCGAGGCCCAGGCCGCCGCGGCGCCGAGCTCTGGTGAGTCCCGCGGGGCTGCGTCCGCGGCCTGTGCCGGGTCGGACGGAGGAGAGGCGGAGGGGAGGCCCGAGGGCCGCGGCCGCCAGCTCACGCTGACCCCCAGCGGGCCGGGCCGCTTCCGCGGTGCGGGCGGCGGGCGGGCGGGGACGGGCCTGCAACGGCCATCCATCCTGAGCAAGCGCTGCGGGCGCGGGCGGGGCGAGAGCGACGCCCTCCGCTGCTCCCCCTCCTCCCATCCCCCCTCCGCTGCTCCCCCTCCTCCTCCCATCCCCCCTCCGCTGCTCCCCCTCCTCCTCCCATCCCCCCTCCGCTGCTCCCCCTCCTCCTCCCATCCCCCCTCCGCTGCTCCCCCTCCTCCTCCCATCCCCCCTCCGCTGCTCCCCCTCCTCCTCCCATCCCCCCTCCGCTGCTCCCCCTCCTCCTCCCATCCCCCCTCCGCTGCTCCCCCTCCTCCCATCCCCCCTCCGCTGCTCCCCCTCCTGCCATCCCCCCTCCGCTGCTCCCCCTCCTCCCATCCCCCCTCCGCTGCTCCCCCTCCTCCTCCCATCCCCCCTCCGCTGCTCCCCCTCCTCCCATCCCCCCTCCGCTGCTCCCCCTCCTCCCATCCCCCCTCCGCTGCTCCCCCTCCTGCCATCCCCCCTCCGCTGCTCCCCCTCCTCCTCCCATCCCCTCTCCGCTGCTCCCCCTCCTCCTCCCATCCCCCCTCCGGTGCTCCCCCTCCTCCTCCCATCCCCCCTCCGCTGCTCCCCCTCCTCCTCCCATCCCCCCTCCGGTGCTCCCCCTCCTCCTCCCATCCCCCCTCCGCTGCTCCCCCTCCTCCTCCCATCCCCCCTCCGCTGCTCCCCCTCCTCCCATCCCCCTCCGCTGCTCCCCCTCCTCCTCCCATCCCCCCTCCGCTGCTCCCCCTCCTCCTCCCATCCCCCCTCCGCTGCTCCCCCTCCTCCTCCCATCCCCCCTCCGCTGCTCCCCCTCCTCCTCCCATCCCCCCTCCGGTGCTCCCCCTCCTCCTCCCATCCCCCCTCCGCCGCTCCCCCTCCTCCTCCCATCCCCCCTCCGGTGCTCCCCCTCCTCCTCCCATCCCCCCTCCGCTGCTCCCCCTCCTCCTCCCATCCCCCCTCCGCTGCTCCCCCTCCTCCTCCCATCCCCCCTCCGCTGCTCCCCCTCCTCCTCCCATCCCCCCTCCGCTGCTCCCCCTCCTCCTCCCATCCCCCCTCCGCTGCTCCCCCTCCTCCCATCCCCCCTCCGCTGCTCCCCCTCCTGCCATCCCCCCTCCGCTGCTCCCCCTCCTCCTCCCATCCCCCTCCGCTGCTCCCCCTCCTCCCATCCCCCCTCCGCTGCTCCCCCTCCTCCCATCCCCCCTCCGCTGCTCCCCCTCCTCCTCCCATCCCCCTCCGCTGCTCCCCCTCCTCCCATCCCCCCTCCGGTGCTCCCCCTCCTCCCATCCCCCCTCCGCTGCTCCCCCTCCTCCCATCCCCACTCCGGTGCTCCCCCTCCTCTCATTCCCCCCCTCCAGGCACAGGGCCTCGCTGCTTTTTGATGGGAGTTGTCACACACAGCCCCACAGCCCCACTGCACTCCTGCTCTGCAGCAGAGGAAGCCCAAGGGCTTGGCCAAGCGCCCCAGGCAGGGCTGAGGGAGCACCAGCACCCGCCAGACAGGGCCAGGCCTCTGGGGTCTCAGGCGCTCTGGTTGTTGGCCGGGTAGAGATGCTCTCCATCACCACCCCTAGACATTTTCCTAACTCCCTCCCGTTAGCCTTCTCCTCCCTCCATGGGAGTTCCGAAGACGTCACCCTCTCCAAACTGAAGCGGTTTTGTGTTTGTGCGTGAGGGAGAGGAGGGGCTTGTGCGGGTCCTGAACAGTGTGGGTGGCATTGTCTTCCTGCCCCGCTGCCCAGCGCGGGCGCCCAGAGGGCTCTGCCTGCCGGGCTGCTGTTGCTGACCATCCCCCCAGGGACTCCTCCCTGCGCTCTCTTTTGGGTGGTCCTCCAACCACAGCCCCTGGTGGCATTCACGCTGCGGTTCACCCTCACTGGTTGTGGCCATTTGCTATAGATTGAGGCTTTTTCCTCCCCTCCGAAGGTTAAAAATGGCGTCCAGGATGGTCCCCACTGTGCTCTCGGGACTGCTGCTCTGGCTGGCGATTGGAGATGTCCCAGCACTGGCCCACAGCCCACGGACCCCGGACCGAGTCTCAGAAGCAGATGTGCAGCGGCTGCTCCACGGCGTCATGGAGCAGCTGGGCATTGCCAGACCCCGCGTAGAGTACGCGGCTCACCAGGCCATGAACCTCGTGGGCCCCCAGAGCATCGAAGGTACTTCTCCATCCTGTGTGATGCTGTGTTTTCTTTGTTTTTCCTTCCTGTCTGGCTCCAGGGGCACATACATTCACAGGCCCACCCGGGGGTGAGCCCATCTCTGTCCTGAGTTTTCCTAAGTTCCTAAGTTTCTGGCAGTGTGCTTGTAACTTTCATTAGGAAGCTGTATTTCATTTGTTCGTTGTTTAATAATCTATAAGGAGGATTTAGCCTCTGGGGTGACTAAGAAAATGCTTGCTTGAAAAAGTAAAGAAAAATGCAAACATTCCCTGAATTTCCACAAGACACACGCATACCAAGTACTATTCACTACCCAAGTGGACTGGCTGTGGTGATGTCCTAAAAGGGTTCCCTGGGTCCATGAATCTTGTTGCTCTGCACTTGCCCTTTCTGTCTTGTTGCTCGTCGTTTTCTGTAACTGAGTAAAGTGGTCTCTGAGACTGTCATGCACTTAGGATAGCGTTTGATTTCAGGAGTAGACTACACAAATAACTGGAAGCAGCAGACATGCTCCCTAGTGGAGAGCCTGGGTTGAGACACACCAGAAAGTGCTTCCTGCCCTTCTCTTAGTGAGAATCGCCGTCCTTGTGAGCACTGGCTGGCTGCCTGTATTTGAGCACACCTGTCCATTTCAGAGCAGTTTGATGGAGATGGGAAAGGCTTGCCTGTGGACAGCTGCCCAGCCGTTGTCATGGAGAAGCGCTCCGAGTTTCCGTCCACACGCAGGCCTGATCTGCTGTGCTGGAAAGGAATGACGTCAAGGCCTGTGTTGATCAGGGCCTTGTTCTGGTTCAGTGCTCAGTCTGGGGTACAGGGAGTGCAGGGCGCAGGGCAGCACACCCCGGGAGTCAAGGCTGGGCGTGGGAGGGGCGGGTCGCAAAGAGCTGACTGGTGGTACAGGTGCGCGCACTGCTGCCATGGAGACAGCCAGAGGCTGCGGAGCGGGGGAGGAAATGCTGCTGCTGTGTGTGTGTGTGCCCGTCCTGGTTTGACTCAGAGCCTGGGTGCTCTCCTGGAACTTCTTTTTGCTCAAGGCTAGTGCTCTACCACATGAGCCATAGTGCCACTTCTGGCACTATGAGTAGTTTATTAGAGACGAGTCTTTCCTGCCTGGGCTGGCTTCAAACCACAATCCTTCTGAATAGTGTAGCTAGGATGACTGGCGTGAGCCACTGGCGCCCATCAGGAAGTACTTCTTTGAAGAAGTAACATTTGGCCAGGGGTTTTTGAGTTTACTCAGGAAATCCTCAAGGAACCACAATGGATGGCGTGGTAAAATGGACAGGTGTGGTGGCGTGTACCTGTTTTCCCAGCTACCAGGGGGGTGTATGTAGGAGGCTCACAGTCCTGGCCTGGCCCTGGTGACAGTACAAGAGCCTGTCTGAAAAGGAAAGGAAAGCAGAGAGGACTGTGGGAACTTGGCTCAAGTGGTAGAGCACCTGCTCGGAAGGTGGCAGGTCCTGAGCCTGAACTCAATGTCATCAAAATAAAGACATGGTTTTTCTAGTTCACCCTCGTGGTAAGGTGCTACGTACAGGCAGCAGTCTCAAGCCTCCCTTCTCCATGTCTTCATCCATGAACATGGACTTGTGTTTCAATCTCGGTTGCTATAGAACAAATTTAGCCCCTAAGCCGGGCGCCAGTGGCTCACGCCTGCCATCCTAGCTACTAAGGAGGCTGAGATCTGAGGATCACGGTTCAAAACCAGCCTGGGCAGGAAAGGCCGTGAGACTCTTATCTCCAGTAAGCCACCAGAAAATTGGAAGTGGCGCTCTGGCTCACACATAGAGCGCTCGCCTTGAGCTGAGGAGCTGAGGGACAGTGCCCAGGCCCAGAGTTCAAACCCC